TTTTAGATTTTTTATATTTAAAATGAGATGTTTATCATGTATTTGATTATGTTTATCTGCATTTAGTTACAAGAATTCAAAGATAGAGTTTTAATATGTTGTACTTAAGCACAATCTACTTGTAATCTTAAATTTTAAGTAATATGCATCAATAAACAATACTTCATACATAAAAAATAGTTTTTAAGAGTTTTTGTCAAATGTTTTCTAATATAGTATAGATATACACACACATGACGTTTTAAGGTAAGCCTCGAAAAATATTATGACCTTGCTGCAACTCATAAAACTTGAGATTTGATTTTGCCACCATGTCCCATCTCACGTCATTTAAACCTTAATTACAATTTATAAATTTTAGAGACTAAAAAAAGCACCATAAATAAGGGAAAAAATGTAATTTACTCATACAACCAAAAACAATATCGTACGACTCATAGAAAAAAGCAAAATTGAGTAGGAAGTCGACGAGGATAGAAGTCAATAATACACGGCGGCAACAGGTAAAAATCGGCTGCCAATACACACCCACCTCATAGTTGTAGTCATCCTCCACGTTGACTGCCTTAATTTACCAATCTACCCTTTTAATCATTTCTCCCTTTCATATATCGTACTTTTGGTCCCTATATTTTACCCCTTCCACATTTAGTCCCTATTAGTATATGCCCCTTCCACATTTAGTCCCTATATTATGGTATCTTTCCATTTGAAAATCTCTATGTTGTATTAGTTTTTGTCCCGTCTCTAGTATTCAGGTTACGGTGGTTTTAGAAATGATTGTGTTGATTTTATAAGGCAACAAAAGAGAATCTACATCAACTTCGATCAAGCTGACATTGAAAAAAAATGATAAAATGACCATTATTTCATTCGATACAATTTTAATCTTTAAATTCTAAAAAAACAAAGAAAAATTCAAGGGTAATGTTTATCATTTACAAACTTAATTAAAATTTAGATAAATTTTAAGCTTGTAACATACAATACCTTTCCTATCACCTGTTGGACTCTCTATTCCTTGCTATTGCCATCGCTTCTCCTTATGGTTGTCACACTTGTCCCCCTTACCATCGCCGCCCCTACCTATCTCCCTTGTTGTCATCCCCTTATTATCTACCATCGTCCTGGTCATATATATATATATATATATATATGTTTGTTTGTTTTTATTTTATTCAAAATCTATATTTTTATGTGCTGATAACAAAAAGAATAGTTATGTACATAATGTTTATACCTTTAAATTCTGTTCACCGAATTAATATAAGTTGTGGACATTTTTGTCGTTTTTAATAATTTTGATCAAATTTGATACCTTTGAATTTTTATATAAGTAGGAGGCCTAATTTAAACTTTGTAATTATTAGTATTTGACATTGTATTTCATAATCATCACCGTAATTAAAAGAAATACAAAAAACCTTAATAAGAAACCAGTACAAAAAACAATAAGAGAATCAAATCTCACATCAGCAAGAAAACTGTCAGATAAAAAAAAAAAATAACCATAACACCAATAAATAGGAATGTTGTATTTTTTAAATTTTTATTAAATATATTTTTATTTATTAATTTTTTTCTTATATACATCAATATTAAGATTTGTTTTTTTTATATATTAATGCATGATTTATTTTAATTATGAGATAAAAAAAGGGTATGTATATATGACGAAGGATGATATGAGGAGGAAAGTTATGGCGTAAAATATAAGAAGATATTTGAATTCTTGATCTTTTTCATCTCATGTTCATCCATGAATTTTAATTTAAAAAAAATTGATCTATTATATTTCGATGCATACGATTCATTTAAGATTGATATGAAAATGAAGGTTTTTTTTTTGGTATACTTTGTTAGTTTGTTATATAAAAATAAAGAATTTAGAAAGAAAAAACCTCCCAAAAGGTCCGAACAGAAAAGAATATTTTATTTTCTTATTTTTAAAAGGTGAAAATCCAATTCCAAAATCTCCCTTTCTTCTCTTCCGTTACGATTCTTCTTCTTCAACAATCTTTAATCATCTTCGTAGTTACAGAAAATCCATATACACACAGAGATCCTTTATCATGAATCAAAAGGCACGGGTTACTAAGGAGCTTAATGAAAAACACAGAAAGGTTTGATTTCCATCAACTCCTATATGTTGCTTTTCCATTTTTGTGGGTTTTCAGCTTTTACTGTTTCATAAAAGGAATCGGAAGTTTTCTGTGGTTGTTTCGAGTAATTATGATTGATTAAAACTTTGACTGTTATGATTCTATTACCATCCAAGTCCAAAGGATTCCCTTCATCCCTTGTGTATCTTCAATCATCAATTAGGTTTGTGTTTCTGTGAATTCATATATGTGTCTGTGTTGTATTTATATGGGTTAATTGCTAGCTGCTCAAAATGTTACGAGTTATCAATAAAAAAATAGCGTAGCTTATAATGAAAACCGTCTTAGTTTTCTGTAATATCCTATTGCTTTTCCATTTCTGGGGTTTTGAGGTTTCACTGATTCATAAAGATAAAAAAGATTTTTCTATGCTTGATTGGCTAAGTTATGTATGATTTTAGCTTTGATTCTCATTAGTTTTACCACAATCCAGTTCTAATTGATTCAGTTGTCTTTCCACTGCTCTTAAATTATCAACAAGGTATGCAACTTCATATGAGCTTAATATTCTAAGATTATTTACAGGAGCTGGTTCCAGAGACCAGAGGTTGCCACTAATCAGAACATATTTCTACTGTTTGTCCCAAAAAAGTCCCACTTCGACTTGAAATTCAAACCTTTCTTTCTAATCTAAAAATGAGTTTTGGTTATTTAAATTCATGTAGATCATCATAATATATTGTTATAGATGATTTTATCATCCTTTTGTGCTTATTAAGCTATACTTCGGTGCATTAAAAGCTGTTCAAAAGGTTAAAAGGCCAAAGCTTATTATTCTTTAGATTTCAACTCTTGACGCATGATTTACAAGTTTTGAAGCATAATATTCTATTAAAATAGCCAGTTGAGATCATTTGGCAAGGAAAAGGACCTGCTCAATTAGAATAGTTGTCCTAGTTCCTTCATCAACATAGTCAAAACTGAAAGTTTCATCTATTAGGAGTACATGTGTACAACTAGTAATGCATGGTATACAAGTCATGAAGCACAAATGAGTGGTTTCAATAATTGGGTTTTTTAATTTGGCAGTTGAAAATTGAAGGTGTAAAGAATGTAATGAGCAGCTGTCCAAATTCACTTTTCCAAGGAAAGTCAAAATTTTCATTTTTCTTAGAAGTACAACCAGTTATGCATGGTGTTCAAGCTGTAAAGCACAAATGACCTGTTACGACAATTGGGTTTTTAATTGGTTAAATAATCTTCTTCCCATATAAAGCCAAAGCTTGAAACTAGTGCAGCAAAAGTTGTACCTTGCTTTAGGAAAAGGCATATAGCTTCTTTAGTAGGGTAGTTGAAACTTCTAAATGGATAGTGACGAGTCACCAGCAGAAAGGGAAAAATTCTATGTATGCGGAATACATTTAGTTATGCAAGGTGTACAAGTCTTGAAGCACAAATGAGGGAATAATTATCCTGATTCACTTATCAACAGAAACAAAAAAAATTCCATTTTTAAAAGTCAAACCAATTATGTATGGTGTACAAGCTGCAAAGCACGAAAGGGAGGGCACAGAAATTGTGTCTTTAAGAGGTAAATCATCTTCTCACATCAACAATGGACAAATCCAAATAAGTAATATTATATGGCTTGTACTTCATGCATTAAAATTTGTACATAATACTCTAGAAGTTGTACCTTGCCACGGAATGAGGCCTAGCTTTTTAATAAATAGTAGGGTAGTTGGAACTATTATATGGTTATGAGTAGTTATTCTAATTCACTTACATACAAAAGCACAACTTTTGTCATTCGTAAAAATGACATATGGACTACATTTTATTATTGGCCACAAGCTAAAGTTGGATTCTTTATAAAGAATAAAAAACAGAGAATTCTAGGAATTATCGATATGAATTTGTTTCTTTCCAGACCGGCAGCATTAAGAATTCTTAAAAGGGTCACCTGAATTTTGCTACATTAAACAAATAGAGAAATTATTAATTAAATCAAACAATTATAAGAGCTTCTGTTTTGTGTTTATGCAGTTCAATGAGTTGGTAACATAGCTGTCAAGGGATGTTTGGTAGATGCCAAGATGATGTTTTGACACCTGGTCCCATTTTGTGAGTTGTAACTCTTGTAGGACATAGCATGGCATAAATGTATGATTCATAAAACTATTAGTTTAAGGAATATCGATATCTACAGTTGTTTAACTGTTGAAATGTCAATTTCTTTGTCAAATTCGTTGCCCTTTAGTGGTATGGAATAAGTAAAATTTACTACCCTCTTGCAAGATATGTTCTGAAACCTTGGCAGAGTGGGGTGGGGTGTTGTCACGGCCAATCACCATCGCCATAATATGTCCAATTTCTCTTTAAATTTGCATGTTTTGACTGGAAACCTAGTGAGAGATAATTTGCATGTTTTGACTGGAAACCTAGTGAGAGATAGCCTTCAATATTATAATAAAATAACAGAATCTTGTGAACTCAGATTAATATCATTAACTTTGGTAATAATGACATAGGGCACATATGTACTTTTGCTTGAAACATTGGGGGCATGGATCTTATTACTTATTAGGACCACAACATCGCCACACCACCTCCATTCTATAAAAATTGCAGCTAATTTTCGTAATGTTTGACTACGCACATGCTTTGAACTAATCCTCCAATGATGACAATGTATGAAACTCGTGTGAAGCGTGAACTGAAATCAATTAATCGACTCTGTGATAATGACAACAGAGTAGGTAGTTAATTTGCCTAAAAGTTTGGGGGCTGGGTTGTTATTAGGATCATAACGCCACGGACCTCTGTCTCAATATTTATATTTGATTGGACAAATAGTCTGAAGTACCTCTCATTAATGATTAAGGAAATTTTCTGGTCCTAAATAAACATCATCAACTTTTGTAACGATGCAACGGGTTATTATATTGCTTAAGAAGTTGTAATAAGAATGTTGCAAATTTTATGGAATTGGGATAGTGAATTATGGATTTTGCTGCATGAGACCTCTTGATGAATAATGTCTATTTATCATGGTAGATGAGATGGTTTTATGTGGTGATTGTTGGTGCTGGATTTTATGATCCATCTGGGGAACTCCTCTGATGACCTGCAAAAGGACGAATGCAAGAGGGTTCCCCCTATTTGACATGCCTGGCACTCTCTTCTATTTATGGTTTAGGAGGTAGATAAAGATTAGAATCCTCGACGACTTTAGAGTTTTAGTTGTGTCTCTTTTTGAGATGGTTAAGCTTTTAGGTTAAGCTTGGTCTTCATGACACGAGACCCTATTTGTGTACATATGCTCCGTATCATCATGCTATAATGTCCTTAATCTGGTATCATATCCAAACAGTGATCAAATTTTAGTTAGTTGGATGTGAAATTGGTGGGACACTCTATCATGGCTCAGTAAAGACGAACTGACATTTTTTTAATGGTTTTTAAGTTGTTAAAAAATTGTAACATTCCTTTTTGAATGCTAGAATTTAACTGGATAAAACGAGAACAGAATTACGATTACGTGGTGATCAAGTTCAATCACTTGGTTCTAAGATTGGTAGGTGTCCAATCCTAGCTCAGCAAATAGAACCTATGTTTCACAATCATTCTCAAGTTAAAAGAAAAACTCTATGTTTTTCCTTGACAAATTGAAAGTTATCTGAGTCTTTGTCCTTTCCATATGGGATCATATGCTATAACTAATGTTTTCTTACAATACTTTCTCACTGCTCCCCTAATGCAGATACTGGAGGGGCAACTTAAATTACCAGAGAATCGGGAATGCGCCGACTGCAAAAGCAAGTAGGTGGCATAGAAAAAAATATTTTTAGTTATTTGCAAGAAAATTGTTAAAGTTGTGCATATTATTCAAACATATATGTTATGATTTCAGGGGTCCAAGATGGGCTAGCGTAAATCTTGGAATTTTTATATGTATGCAATGTTCTGGGATTCATAGAAGTCTTGGAGTACACATTTCAAAGGTCGTGTTGCATTAAAGAGAAATTCTGACCATAAACAATGTTTAAATTTTGGTGATATTTTATTTATTTTTATATTATTTTAGGTGAGATCTGCTACACTTGATACATGGCTACCTGATCAGATTGCATTTATACAAAGTGAGTTGATAGATCTTGTTCTGAAACTGTTCTTAAACTTCTTTTTCTATAACTTACAAGAGCGATTAACATAGGTAACAATTATTCGACTTTAGCTTTGAAAAAATCATCAGAGTTTCAAAACTCTCATAAAGAGGTTTTACCTCCAATTCCTGCAACTACAATGCTTTTTTGACAGTTAAAGCCAGATACTGTGGTTATAGAAGCTCAAGTTGTCCAAGTGTTATTTTTTGGGACATTTGCAACCACGATAGTTTTTTTTTTGAAAATTAAGTTTAAGTAAAATGGCTACAAATGTTGTTCAGAAAGTAATCTTAAATTTAAGTACAATGTTACAAATGTTGATCAGACAGTACTCTTGAACTTTATGTTTGACCATGATCTTAGTTCGGTGCCTTTTGTATTTTTTAAAGGTAAAAGGGGAAAACTATATTTTAGAATGAAGGAATGAACTTATATTATCTTAAAAGTAACTTTTAAATGAACAATTTGTTGTTGTTGCAGCTATGGGAAATAAGAAATCAAATAGCTTTTGGGAAGCTGAATTGCCTCCCAGATACGATAGAGTTGGGACTGTGAACTTCATTCGTGCAAAGTATGTTTATCTTCCTTTTCATTCTAGCACCTACAGGTCAAGCCTTGCTGCAACTAATAGGGTCACTCAAATAGTGATGAACAGAAAAACAACATTTTTGCAACATGAAATGGAAGGTGTAGAAGAAGTATTGCTTCAAACCATCTTTCTTGAAAAATTAAGAAAAAAGAACACTACACTTGACAAAAATGATCAAGTTTTGAATAAGCAAATGTCAAATATGATTTATTTTTTGCATTTATATTTCCATAATCTGCCCAAATCCACTTATTCTAGCAAACCGTAGTTTCTAATGACATGTTCACAAGATTGATGTTAATTTGCAACATAAAGTTGAGTACAATGTTCACAAAGATTAAAGACAATTACTCCACTCTCTTTGTGTACTAAGTAGAATAGTGAATGATTTTGATCAGGTATATAGACAAAAGATGGATTTCTCGTGAGCGAAAAGTTGAAGATCATTTGAGTATAAAACGAGAAGAGAATGTTTCAGTTTATAAACCTGTGACCACAACCAGTGCCTCAACTAGGGTCATTGTCCATTTACCTGAGCCAAAACAGACCCCTCAGCTTTACAATATGAACAAAAGTATACCTCACGTTCCTCCTAAAGTTCTTGATCAGCAGGTACTAACTTGTTCATTTCACTTTTAATCTTCTTTTTGTTGACTTTGTGTTATTGACTTTGAAAGAATTTGCTAAATTCTGTAACATTAGTTGACTTGTGATGCATACAGATCATTGTTCGACCCAAACAAATTGAACCTGAATCAAAAACAGAGAAACCTAAAGCTGTGGAGATTGTATTGGATCGGAAGGTTGATGATTATCATGCCACTGATCTTTTCGATCTGCCACGGGCAGAAAATGGCCCCAGTCCTTCTGTTAGTGATGAGAATCCAATACCAAGAATCCAAAGTAAGGTCATTTTGCTTTTGTCTTTGGCTGTACCATTGTATCATTAGTTATACCTTAAAGGTGCGTTTGGTATGTAGGACGGGACATGACATGACAAAACTAAAATTTGTGATCCCATGTTTGGCGCAATAATGTAGACTTGGATAGGATGAGACTAAGTGGGACAAAAATTGCATATTTCTTGTCCCACCAAACTAGGTGGAACAAAAATTAGGGAGTTCAATCAAAATTGGTAAATTATTAAACTGTTGATGTCAAATTGAAACACTAAAACTTCCACAATTCTCCTACCGCTCGCTCTCGCTTGTCCTGTCCATGTTTCAAACACACCCTAAAGGGTATTTTAGTCTTTTACATCCCACGAACCAAGGCTATGATTTTCCGCTTCATTCTAGGCTAAAAGGTTTCTTTGATCTGAATATTGCAGCATCTGGTCCAATGTTACCGGTGGCAGAAGACAATGATGCCAAGAAATCAAGTAACAAAGTGCAAATTAAGTCCGAATTTGAGGATCTGTTTCAAGGGTTAGATTGGGTTGTGCCGGTGCCGCCTCTTACTCAAGAACCTTATAAAGAAGTAAAAACCGACAATGTGAATCTTTCCGAGAAGGTGTGCTCATCAACAGATTGTTTATTATTTACAAATTAACCTCATAACCTGCTTCTATGATTTGTATGTTATTGCTTACTATTAACCAGATTTTCAAAACCATATCATATGACTTTCTCTTTGTCAAGCTCTTCACAAGTCGGGGGGGTTTTCACTTAAATAACCGCTCTACTCTTTGGTTTTTTGTTATGTTGACCGCTTTATGTTCTTTGAACAGTCAACCATGGTGCCACCATTTTCCGTTGAGCAACAAGTAGCAGTTCATACTCAACGACAATCTAAGTTTGTGGGTAATAATCAAAATGGCATGAATGGTCTCCACCGTCTTCCAAATCAGGTTCGATAATCGTAGCACTTGAACATTCCGATGTTTATGTCGACTATCAAATTCATCTTGAAATTCTGTTTGGTTGGCAGATGGGAAACATCAAAGCTTCACAACCTATTGGAAATCCCGGTTTTTACACAATAACCAGGTGACGTAAATTTACATTACGAGTTGTACCTTGTGCATCACATCTGTGCTTTCCATAACCAAATTTCTTGACTTTAGTACAAATTATGATGAATGGCGTACAGCCCACTTTGCAGGATATACGTCAAAGGCTATGTTTGACAAAGTAGCCATATAAGCTAACGTTTGATTGATAAACTAATCATGTTTATGAAAAACTAACTTGTAAGTTAGATAACAATATAAAAGGATTAAAAGACTAGGATTTTTTAATCTTTTATGTAAAATATCAAGGGCACAATTGGAAAAAAGTAAAAGAAAACGAAACCCGGAGCTTATTGAAATGTTGGTTGAAGTAGTATATCAAAAACTAGCTTATAGCTTACCAAATATCACCTTTTCAATTAGCTCAAAGATAAAGCCAGTCTACGGTCCTAAAAAAGCCCAGAAGCCGAGGATGTAGTTCTTGGAGTACCTAACATCTGTTTGTGTTTCTTGTTTTGCAGTATGTATGGTTCAAATAGAGCTGGCATGAGCACCAAAAGTTTAGGAGCAAGTAGACCGTCCACGACATCTAAGGGATCGTTAAGCATCCCGACTCAGTTAGGAGGCGAATACGACTTCTCGTCATTAACGCAGGGGATGTTTACAAAACGATAGTCAATTTCGTCCATTGGTTTTTAATCATAGAAAATAGAAGTCGATAGTAATTTAATTATTGATTTGAAGTTGTATATTTGCATTTCATTTGAATTGTTGTGTTCTTTAAACGAAATAATAGAAGTGTATTTCATTTCAATAGAAGAAAGAAAAGCATGCATTTGTTTTAAGAATCGTGTGGGTCTTGCTACATGCAAAATTGAATTTACGTTTGTTACAAGTCTGTTTGACAATTGCTGAATGGTTTGGTACAGAATAATTAAGTGGTCCGAATGATTAAGAGACTTTAATGATATAGTACAAAATGAAATATAATTGTTTGCTAATTGTGTACAATGAAATTAGGGCTCTTAATGGTTAAGGGAGATGCAGGATACAAAATTATTCAGAGGGTTGTGGAACCATTAAAAAACAGACTTTTTTCTTGCTAAACAAGATTTATCTCTTAACGATTCAAAAGTTGTATGTTAATGAAACTGTTAAAAGTGGTAAACAACCACCCTAGTATTATTCAATTTTTTAAGTCAGATGTTTTAAACCAAAATTAATTAATAAATAAACTATCCAGGGTATAACCATTTATATAATAATGGGGCTTGAATATTCATGACTGTTGACTAAAAATCGATCAATGATTGATAGAGGATTTATCAGTTTTTTACTTTCATAGCAAAAAGTGGTTTTACGAGTCTCATGAAAACAGACTGATCTCACATGAACCAAACCATATATATATATATATATATAAAAGATCAAATAAAAAATAATACATATTTAAAAGAATTGAGAATAATTCTAGACCAATCATTTCATTAAATAATATCTTAAAAAACTAATTTCTAAAAATAAATAAATAAAAGTATAAAAGTAATTTAATTATATAAAAGTGATTTAAGGTATTTATTTAATAGTAGGTTATTATACAACTCTTTACATTTATACAACCAATACAACACAATCTCAACCGTTCGTTTAATTTGATTAATATGTAATTTCATATAAGTTTTGATTATTTTCTAATACAAGGTATTGATTATAATTAATGAATCTTATTCATCTTTCATAAATAATTAAATCATAATAAATAAACTCTCATCATTTTTATAAATATTTTAATTTATTGGGTTGCATTGGTTGTACAAATGTGTTGAGTTGCATTTGAAACAAACTCTTATGTAATATTCAACTTTTACCATATTTATAATTTTAATATGATTTAATTTTTTATTTGGAAAAATATTTTATATTAAATACATTTAAAATAGGCGTATTTAGTTCTTTTATTTAACGAATTCATTTTTTATTTAAAAAATATTTTAAAAATTACAATTTTTGTAAAAATTATACGTGATTAACAATTATTTAATTTTATTTCTTTTCTACCATGAATAATATCATATATGATAAATTGACGAAAATTAACGATTATTAATTAGAAAAAAAAAACGTCGATTACTTGTGGATATCACATGTGATTTTTGATGAAAATTATAAAAAATACTTGAAATGACTATTTTAAATAAAAAACCAAATCACAATTATTTAAAATATTGAAAAAATAATAAATAATTATACTTAAATGATGAAAATTGTAAAAGTCACTAATAAATACTATAACTAAATTTATTAAATAATCTTTATTTTTACTATATTATAAAGAATTTGATAAAAACTCTTAAAAACAATTTTTTATGCACGAAGTATTGTTTATTGATGCATATTACTTAAAATTTAAGATTATAAGTAAATTATGCATAACTACAACTTATTAAAGCTCATGCTTGAATTCGTGTAACTAACTGCGGATAAATATAATCAAATAGAAGATAAA